TCACCTGCAAGGAGTGTTTGTTCCCCGAGTAGCCCCAGTTTTAATAGAATGGAGAACTTGAATAACTGACTGAATAATCCGGTAATCAAATTGTTGCTTAAATTTTAGTTGATTCTTTAAAATGTTAAACAATTTTAATAGTTTAAAATGAATTAACACAGTAGATTGTTCATCCTGTGTACGGAAAGAAATTACTTTTCCTGATATTGAAATATACAATTCCTTATTGAGATTTCTGTACTTGTCATTTTTTTTCATAATGCTTTTTAAAAATTGGAGATATTATGTTTGGCATGCATAAAGTATGGTGAATATAGGCTTTTTTTTTAGGCCTAATACATATGTCCCAGATTATCAAATTCAGGCAGATTTTTTTTTTTGTTGGCACAAAAAACACTAATAGGTGTGGCATGTCTCCTCTGGGTATAATATCACCATTCTTTCTTCTGGTGTGGTTAGAAAACATCTTAGGGATTTCAGAAAAGTCTAATGTGTTGATCTAATGTGTTAGATAGATATCGAAATAAATCGCAGAAAAGTCAAAATTGCAAAACATGTCCCAGATTACCCGAATTCACCCAACAAACTACACAAAGAGAATGCAGAGTATGGACAGAATATAAACTCATTACAAAATTAGACCTGTAGGTGGCAGCCTTGAACATTCTGTAATGACGTGACAAACACTGAACGCTTCGAAAAAAGATCTGCAAAGTTACACAGCTCAAAGTCCACTTCAAAAGGAGATATTTTATTTAACAGAAATCACTTTTCAAAAACTACAACGAACGACTCGTTTGGACTACAATGCATATTTACCGGGATTTGTGATATCACAAATATCGACGAATGGGACGAGACCTGGTTGAGCTGCACTAGAGAAGGCAACGAGTGTTATCACTATGTTGGAGACACGCTAGCTTTCCCAAGACAGATGAACTAAGAGCGGTTACAATCATCCGGGTTTAAATCGCGCTTAATTTGATTTCGATGCAATATTTACACTGAAGCTCACAGGCGGCTATGGTGAGGGGCGTGACATTTTCCTGATTTTCAGTGACTTGCTGCCACCTGCTGGAGGATTTAGTTTCATTTTTAGCATTTAATTTCAGTTATTTAAATACAGAAATATGATTGACATATGAAACTAAATCCGCCAGCAGGTGGCGGTAAGTCACTTGATTTGATCACTGAATCATTCATTCAATTGATTCGTTCGAA